GGCCAGCCAGGATCCGTGCCCAGAGCTGGGAGAGTCTCATCTTTAGGAAGAGGAGAGTGTGAAATGGAGCCTGCTGGAGCCTCCGGGAGCTTTTGTGGCTGTATTTCTTTCTGGGGCAGCTGCTGGGTAAAGGAGGGTTTTGGAGAAATGGTTAGCGTGACCCTCGGATGGCTGTGCCCTGCTCTCTTTTTTTTGGGGGCCGGGGGGCCACCCGGGGTGGCCGGCGAGCCTCGGGTGCTTGGGGTAGAGGAGGATGGAGATGGGCCCCAGACATGGCTTTGCACCATGCTCTGGGCACGGAGCTGCTGGATCCTGTCCACTTGGTACCAGCTGGGCATGGGAACTGTTGGGGAGCGTTTGCCTTGTGCTGAGCAGCTGGGAAAGCCCTCGGTGTCCCAGCGAGGAGCTCCAGCTCTGCGTAGGATGTGGCAAGAGCCAGGCAGTGCCCTGGGCAGGGAAGGCATTGTTAAGGCTGTGCACTTGGGCACCTGTGCCTGAGGGAGAGGGCATGCTGTGGGGAGCTCAGCAGGTCCAGGTCGTCAGCCGGTGCCTCTAGGTTCAAAAACACCTTGATGCGGCGTCAGAGCATCCTTACGTAGGACTGGCCGTGGGCCCATGGTGATTCAGTCTCTTCGTCGTGTTTGCTGCCCTGTAACAGCCCAGATCCAGTAGAAGCCCGTGGTGGCTTCTGCTGGGAAACCTCGGTGCTGGCAGGGGGGGGGACCCGGCTGAGTGGCCGCCGAGAGCCTGGGGTATATTTTTATGGAGAGATTATCCATTTGGAAGCAGCTGTGTTGCGTACAGGTGGGCTGGGAGAGCAGGTGCATCTCTGCCGCGGTGCCTTTGGGTCGTGTTCCGTACCGTGAGGTGAGAGGTGATGGAAACAGCAGGAGGCACGTGAGGGGCAGGAGGGCAACGCGGAGTGGGGAGGCAGGGGCTGGCCTGGGGCACCGACGTCCCCTGAGCTTCGCACCGAAAGACTGACCACTGGTGTTGCCTTTCCAAACCAAAGAGCAGTTGTGGCCAAAAGCCTCGTGGGAGTAAAACATGTTTCTGGTCTGTCCCTGTGTTGCACTTCGCTTCTGACGTTTATTCCAAGACTTGGAGGCTTCTTCGTGCTGCCTCCCCTTGGCCTCTCACATCGCCTGTTGCCCCACGGCACCCGAGAAGGTTGCCATGCTGGAGCTGGCGTTGTGTCGGCCCCGTGGCAAGTGCTTGCGCGTGTCTTCAAGACCTGGTCACCAGCCCACCTGAGGATGCTCTGTAGGGCTGGAGTAGGGGATGGTCCCTCTCAAAGGGTTGTCCTCTTCTGCAGGCGGCTTGAGCATAGGATGCTGCTGGAGAGGTGGTGGGGAGGTTTAGGCTGACTGAAGGCGTTGGGGATGTTGTCCAGGAGATAAATCCTGCCCTCTAGGGCTGCTGTTCCTCTGGCTTCCTGGGTCCAGGAAGAAGGTAGTCTGTTACCTGGGCTTTGTTCCCATCTTCGCTTCCCCTTACCCTGCTGACAGGATGCCTTTAGCTGCGTCTCAGCCCCTTCCCCTCCACAGCTATTTTGCTTATACTTTTATAAGACCTTCTAGACTTTGTCCTTTGTTCAATTCTTTATTTGTAAGCAGCGGTTCGATTTTCATCCCTTTTTCCATTTTGATCACGGGGTCTCTGCCTCTTCTCCCTTCTCCCCCCGCCTCAGATTCCTCTCCCAGGCTGAGACTGGATCCAGGTGATACCAAACCCACTGATGGTGAGCTTTGATGTTTGACACCCTAATCTTGCTGAAATCCAGTTGATTCTTCTGTTTTTTTCCCCCATGAGGCCATCCATCTCTCTGGGCATGGGCGATACCTGGCAGCTTGGCTCGGCCGGGTCGTGTCCATGGTGCAGCGAACAAGTCTGAGCCAGGACCCGGAGCCAGAGCAGAGCTGTAGGAAACGGGCACTGGAAGGGAGAGTGGCCATTTCCATGATGGGTCCCTTTGTCATGTCTCCAAGGCTGGGGGTTAGGTTAGTGAAAGGCTGTCAGATGTTCCTGGGAAGCAGTCGTGGCGCTGTGGGGGACTGGACAGCTGAGTTCCCCTGGGAATGCCTGTGGAGCGGCTGCGTGCAGCAGGCAGGCTGCTGAGCCGAGTTAGCCGTGGCGTGGACACCCCTGGGACCACAGGTATGTCCAAGTGGCCCTGCCAGCTCTCCGGGGAGCCGATGCCATCCCTGCGATCTGGGTGGGAAGATGTGTGTGCTCTGGTCTTGGAACCCGCGTGCTGGAGAGGGGGGCGAGGGGGAAAGCGTCCTCTGACAGTGGTTTGGGACCATCTCTGGGTGCTCAAGCCTGACCATGCACTGTTTGGAGGGAGGAGAGCACTTTCTACACTTCCCTTGGGTATTTACCATCAATCCAGGCTGCAGCCAGAGCCTGGCTATTAATAATAAGCAAAAAAAAAAACCCCCACCTTGTTGTTCTTCAGAGTTGGACTCTTCCTCTGTTGGGTGACGAGTTCGTGTGCGGGAAGGTTCCTGCGCACACAGGCGCAGTGCTGAGATGCAATAACGGCTTTTTTT